TTATTATTATTATTATTATTATTATTATTATTAACTATCGACAGGTTTTTGGTAAGATCTTTTTCATTGATCGAATAAAAAAGCGTTATTTTCTAGTGACCCAGTGATTGTCTATATAAGAAAACAGTTATTCCACTCACCTTCGTCGTACATAAGCTCGAGGCCTCGTTGGCTATGAGCTCATTTACGACTCGATTTATTCGTGGAATAACTGTTTCGTGAAGTAACTTGACAAGTGAGTAAGTTCTTAACGCTCTCTTGGACTATTGTTCATTTTATTTCACCCTTTTACCTTTTTAGGGCTGGAAGTGTACAAGCTACAACAGAATTTGATGTTATGAAAATAAGCTCTGTCTCGAATGTCAACAGCACACTTAAAGACAAAATACATTTAGGGGTTTTGGGTAGCTTAAAATTTGACAAAACGACATATTCGTTCAACATTAAAGGTATATTGCTTTATTTCTATACGATAAGCTAATTTAATTTTTTTCTACTTAGCTATCTCCGAAATACCAATTATTTTGGGACATGAGGATGGGATGCAAAACAAGATGACCAAAGAAGCCAAATATCACCATTAAAGCCGATTTGTATACCTATTATCGTTAGTAATTGATAATATGATATATCTTCTTTACAGGTGTAGGCTGCCGTCCACCAAACGTAGCTATCACTAACTTAGCAGTTTTCCCTAATACACCGACCCGGATTAACCGTTCAGAGGGGTTTATAGTACAAACAGATGTTAAGATGAACTGCAATAGTTCCAGTAGTACATCTTTTTTATGGAATGTTTGGCAGCTTAAAGCACTTGGAAGCGATTATGTACTGGTTTCTCCTGGTACACCTGCTTTATATCTCAGAGGAACTGCCGAGTTGAATATTAAAAAGCGTACCTTCAAGTATGGATCGTACTTAGTTGAGTTTCGCGTTTCGATGAAAAATATTCAAGACAATTTTTTCAACTCTGACCTCAGGTTCTTTGAAATTACAGAAACTCCTATTGTTGCAGGAATAATAGGTGGTTCTCATGTCAAACGTGGCTACGGTCAAGACGTGAAAATTGATGCATCAGCTTCCTACGATCCTGATGTTGAATTTGGTGACTTTTCTGGAATTACATTTACATGGCTATGCAAGAAAAAGGGAGAAAGCTTTCCTTCCGAACCTGCAAGCATGTCCGTTGTTTTCCCTCTTGGACCCAAGGGTAAAGGTGGATGTTTTGATACCGGTATTGGTAAACTAAACAGTAACGAACGTGTTGTTACTATAGACACTCGTAAAATGTCGGTTAATAATTCGTATGTTATCAGACTTTTTGTATCAAAAGCAACCGGCAGAGAAGACTCCTTTGACCAAATACTAGATGTCGTGGAAGGAGATCCACTGCAAATATCAATAAGGTATTTTAAAACTCATTAACATTCATCACTATCGGGTGGATCCATCGATATCACGTTATGTAAACCATGTTAGCGATCCATTAACCACTGAACTGGATAAGGAAAAAACTCTTGCTCATCTAAAAAACTTATAACACTCTCATGACTCTTATCAAGAAATTATAAAATAAGAGAGCATATCTTCCATGAAAATTATTTGAAAATATTTTCAGCTTCCCGCGCAGCCTGAACTATTTTTATCATGCGAATCCTGATTGGTCAGAAAAAAGTAAATTCTATGCGAGCGAAAGTATTTAGTTTCTGACGAGTAAATTAAAATGTCTGCAAGATCAGATGAAGTGTATGCTACATCGTGTGTATAAACAGATTAAAAAATTTGCCTCAGTTGGGTTATCGCGGGACTCGAACCACATATATTATAGTCTAGTCATATAGTCTTCACAGTTATCGTAGAATGATAAGTTATACACCGTAGTGAAAATAGTAACTGACGTTTCGGACGTTAGTCCTTCTTCGGAGTCAATAGAAAGTAAGAGTAAGAGAGATGTTTATATAGTAGAGGAGAGAGAAAACAAACCAATAAGAAAAAAGCAAGCCATTTAACAAAGGAAAACAAAAGGATCGAAAACAACAATAGGTGGGAAATAACTTAATTATAAG